GGAGGTACGTACACTGTACGTGTAGATCTACGTTCTAGAATCCAGGATGGCCGGCTCAAGGATCTCCTCTCCCTCTCAGGTTGGATACTGCAAGAATATGCAGCTAATATCCAGCACAGAAGCGCAGACATATTGACATATTGACATATTGCGTGGTCCAGACGCTGGAACACTACAGCTGTACTTGTTTGGACGAAGGGTTAGTTCGAGCAAGTGCATGTACTAGTATCACTGTATGTGCTGCAGTCATAGAGGGCACAGAAGCCTGCCTACCGTGTGTAGGTGAAGTGCTGATGCTTCTCGACATCTTCCGATGTGCCCGATGTTCATCGTTCCCAATGCTTATGACGATAATGATATCAGGGAGGAGATGGAGAGTGTCAAAGTCGTAGACTCGCAGCACAGCACACACACCGACCGTAGGCGTAGAGGTTCTGCTTGTCCTGGGAGTGTGACTGACGGTCGGTGACACCTATGATTAGCATGAAGTATCGAGAGTAACATGGTAACTGCACACGGGGCAGAACTTCAGGGTCAGGCTGCGACGCGTATACCGGAGACGCTGTTCTTGCTGACCTGTGTTTGATGTGCACAGACTCAGTCAATGCCTAGCCTGTGTGTGCTGTCACTGTGCATGGTGTTCTTGCGGTGCGACGTGATCGTGAGTGCATGCTAGATGCTCCGTCACTGAGGTCAGTGTCTGTGTGTGAGTGCGGGGTAAGGGTGGGTGAGACTAGCCAGTCACAGACAACATAGGCAGGACTAGTCGACTACACTAGTACCACGCTAGTAAAACTACTGGGAGAAATTTGCTGCTGGCTTCTAGCGACTCCCAATCGCGGTCACCGCAAAGATTCGCACCATTGGCCTTAGGCGATTGGACCCTAGCCCTGTTGTGTTTCTTTTCCTTTGAAACCTTTGCTATCCAGATAGGGAGTCCCGCGATGTAGAGCTCCCTACACGTTAGCGTTCGGATCATACCATGGTCTGCCTACAAGGCTACATGCATTCGTCTACCACAACAAGCTGCAGTCCTGCGTTCCAGCAAGAGTGTATACTGTAACTCCGCCGCAGTCCGGTACTTTTGAGTCTTGGTTCCGTAGCCTACTTTGCTGAGAATACTCTTAGACTTTTAGTTAGTCTTGTTGCCACACAAGACAAGGATACAAGTAGTTAGGATACCATTACCAAGGCTGGTAAAAACTCTTAAGAGCGATTCGAGGGACTTTGCACTACATTCACTGGCACAACCTGGTGTAAAAAGGCGACCAACTGCTTCCGACTATACAGTACCTGCCACTACCAGGTCTGAGCGACCTTTAGCACCCAGCAGATGTCGGTGACACTTGCTGATGAGTGCCATGGGCCTGGGGTCTTTGTGGTGAACATGCAGCTTGGGCCGCCGGCTTGGTTACAGAGACTACCTGCCGGCTCAACGGCCGACATAGGCTGGCACCCATGGCCATGGGTGATCGTGGAGGCCCGGTTTACCCGACATTCCATTTCTATCCAACCGAGCCATGCAATCTAGCTTCAGTTCAAAGTACTTGCTAGAAGAAGAAAAACTACTAAATCGCAAAACTACATCAACTACATCGGCTACATACAATGCACCTGATCAGTCCTGGTGGTCTGCAAAGACCATTGCCACTGCATTGGTAAAGGGTTTGGAGGTCATGCAGATAGTGTTTTCAATGAAAAGCAGGGTAGAAATCATGCCAATACATGTACATTATTGTAATGCGATTAATAGTATAAGTGAAGCGGACATTACAAAATGATGAATGAGAATACATGTATCTAAAATGGTTGTTCCTAATCGATTTTCTTGAGACTATCATCAGGGAAAATCGTCTCACAAAAAAAAAATCGGATAGTGGGAAGTATACTTCCCATGCCCACTATCCGATAACCTATAAGTAGTTTGTTTCTCCGTATAGCCTTTATTGTGAGACGATTTTCCCTGATGATAGTCTCAAGAAAATCGATTAGGAACAACCATTTTAGATACATGTATTCTCATTCATCATTTTGTAATGTCCGCTTCACTTATACTATTAATCGCATTAATAAAGTTATTGTCTTCTCGTCGCCTTTACATTATTTATTGTATGCTCGAACTCGTCTTCTTCAAAGTTCTTTCTCACACTTATACAGTACAATCATGTAGCAGAAGATGTGAGTGAATCAGCCTTTTAAATATCAGGTATCCCGTAGCGGACGAGATAGTGACGGGTAGATCTACTCGTAGTCCGCAAAACTCTGCGTAGACTCTACGTGTAATTAATAATTGGCCCGATATCTGAGACTTTCGACCTTCGGCCGTTCGGGGCCGGCTACGCGGTTTTTTTGAGAAAACACCAAAAACAAATTTGTTCGCAAAAAAATCGATTCCATCAAAGCAAAGTGCAGAGACGACAATGGCGGAAGAAAATTGAAGGCGATTCTTGTGTCAGTTGGTTATTGGGCTCACGGAGTACAGCAGCCGCGATCCCATGGACGGTGATACATCGTTCTTTGTGGATACCCTGTCAAGCGGCGACAGCGCTTCTGTTCTAGTTCTGAGAGCGCATGTCAGGCGAATCGATCGCAAGTGACACGCGGTACTTACCTGTCGGGGGCGACGATGATGAGGACTTGGCCTGGATGAGTATGATCAAGGCCAACCACAGTCTGCCTCAGCGATAGCTGCTACACAGCTCCAGGCAAGGACAACCAAGTAGATTCCTGAGGGTACGCCACTTGCAAGGTCGCTGGCCGCCCTTGCGCGGGTGGCAGAACTGTTTCCTGAGTGTCACGCCAGACCTGCTAAAACAGCACGAAATGATGCGAGTTTTCTTTGCGACGATGATCCTAAAATGTTTTGGATGGCAAGCTCGATACTCGAGCTAATAATGGCGAATCAGACCATCACCGAGCACATGAGGCTGGGCAATCTCGAGTAACATTCTGTTACTTTTGAGTTGGTGGTGTGAAACGCTTGTCAGGCTGTGTTACTGATGTTTGCAAATGATCAGTCTCTACAAAGTGCAACAAGGCGAATCTGGACGCATTTGCTCTGTTTGACTCCTTCACAATAAGTATGTGAATGCTGATATCATGGTGTTCCGTAAAAATCTGTCACAGACTATCCTGTCAAGCATGTCCATCACCAGAAGAACAGATAAATCACCTCTCCTTCTAATGCTGCTATTGCTGCTGTTGCAACTACATAACTTCAATAAAGTCACGGAATGCTGGAAATGAAGTACCTGAACAGTCAAAACACTCTACTATATTAGTTGGCTATTGATATCACATGGAAACAATTTTTGGTGGCTCCAAACACACTGATCTTTCAAAATTGTAAAAAAAGAACAATTCATGAACATGACTCCTGACCGTAAAATGCATTTCTACATAGTCAATATTGGTCTGATGGCCGTAAAACGAAGTCACCATACTCTACAAAGGCTAGACATCAATTTGCAATAAAAAAATCAATTTCACCAAAACAGCCCGGAAGGTCGATTTTCTCAGATATTGGGCCAATTATGCATGTCACGAAGCCATGACCTCTCTGGATTTTAGCAGCTATGACTGTGTACATAATATTATGTAGGCTTTGGATATTGCTCAAATAAAAATATAAATTGAGGTATACATGTACATAATATACGTGTAGTTGATGTTCGGTCATGATGGAAGGAGAAGTGGAGCTACGGGAGAGATGACCGGATTATTCGCTGCAGGGTGAGGGTGACATCGGTTGGACGAGTATGACGATTACGAAGACAGTAACTGTTGAACATGATAATTTTCAAAGGTAACCCACCCTAATTTTACAATAAATATTTTAACTGAAGTACAAAAGAAGTCAACTGTAATGAATTTATAGAAATACTATGATGTTCTCCCTTTTCCATGTTGATCTCTTATCTAGCATGCATGGCCACCTTGGTTATATGGGGATGCTCGTGTAACATTTTGTTGTACTTATGGCAATAGGAAATAGGCACAATTTCCGAACTTTGGGCCGGGCTCCATACCGGGCATACATGTAAGTACAACAACTTGAAGTGAATATGTATCCTGGCCTGCCAAAGCATAATATGAGGATTTTGCGAGCACATAATGCGAGAATCCATGAAAGCATAATTCCATGTTTTTGCGAGCATAATCCGCCGGAGCCTCGCGAAATCATGGCTTTCTTGGATTCTCGCATTATGCTCACAAAATCCTCATATTATGCTTTGGCAGGCGGGGATGCATATTCACTTTGTTGTACTTATGGAGCCTCAAAGTAATAGTTCGGAAAATTGTGCCGTTTTCGTACTTGCAAGTGGCCATAAGTGCAACAAAATGTTACACGTGTCCATGCATACTACAAGTAGAGATCAACATCATCCGGGAAAAGAGAAAACATTCAATACTCATCTATTCATTTGTTGACTTCTTTTGTAAAAAGATTTTTCATTGCCAAATTAGTTTGAGTTACCTTTGAAAATTATCATGTTCAACTGTCTTCGTATTCGTCATACTCGTCCAGCCGATGTCACCCTCACCCTGCGAATAACCAGCTCATCTCTCCCGTAGCTCCACCTCTCCTTCCATCATGACCGAGCATCAACTAAAACCTCAATTTTTAATAATTATTATTAGAGCAATATCCATAGCCTGCACAGTCATCGCTGCTAAAATCCAGAGGAAACACTATCTGCATGACCTCCAAACCCTTTACCATGCAGACCACCAGCACTGATCAGGTGCATTCATTGTACACAATTGTGTAGCCTACATACTAGAACTGTGGTACAAAAATGTAGTTATGCTCCTACCTCCGAAAGGGTGCCAAATTATGCTCCAAATTTTCAACCACCAAATTATGCCGGCATAATCCGCCGGTGCCTAGTGAGACCCCTCACGTCCGCACAGGTGAAAGCACTGGCATTCCTCACGTGCTCACGACCTGCTCAGTACCACACACGCTCGTCATACAGCCCATTTACTCTGATCTGATGTCATGTTAACCAAACCTCGCAAAGAATCAGGGCATACACAGACAGGAATGAAGATTGATTCAAATGAAGATTCTAAATAGCGTAATATCCCAACACCTGCTCATATAGGGCTTGTTAAATCATCCATACCGTTGAACATTCAGAAAAGTATTGCTGATCAAGGGAATAATAGCCTGGAAGGGTGCAACTCCAGTAATAAGAAAACAATTTGCCACAATAAAAAAATACTTCCAAGGAGTTGAAGGATAAAAGCATTTCGTTGTTGTTGTTGTGTCACCGTCGACGTCGTTTCAATAAGACAGAAAGCACAGAGAGAGAGAGAGAGAGAGAGAGAGAGAGAGAGAGAGAGAGAGAGAGAGAGAGAGAGAGAGAGAGAGAGAGAGAGTGAGAGAGAGTGAGAGAGAGAGGGAGAGAGAAAGAGAGAGAGGGAGAGAGAGGGAGAGGGAGAGAGAGAGAGAGAGGGAGAGAGAGGGAGAGGGAGAGGGAGAGAGAGAGAGAGGGAGAGAGAGAGAGAGAGAGAGAGAGAGAGAGAGAGAGAGAGAGAGAGAGAGAGAGAGAGAGAGAGAGAGAGAGAGAGAGAGAGAGAGGAGAGAGAGAGAGAGGAGCGAAGGGAGAGAGAGAGAGAGACTTGGTGTAGTGTGCAACAGCACTGTCACATTTAAAAATTGATAAGATAACTAACATATAACTCGTAACATTGCATAGAAAACAGAGAGCAGCCAGGGACACCAATAGCATACAGCATCTCTACGAACAATCAGCTGGTTCATTGGAGAGAGGGAGGGAGGGGGGGGGGGGGGGGGGGGAGGGAGCGCAGAGAGCTAAGACCAATACAATAGACTTTCAATTGATAAAGCAGGGCCGCACACAGCGGTCTTGCACCAGCATGTACATGGGTTGCCAGCAACTTTGTACAGAGCAAGCTGCCGCCTCAGCTTCCAAGTCACTCTAGCCTGCAGACTCCGCCGACGCAGACCATGACGCGCTTCGCACCGGCTTCCTTCTCCGCTTGGTACTTCTCATAGATATGCTTGGCGGCAACTACGTCCTCAATGGCCAAACCTGGCGTAGGTCGATAACAGTCAACAACAACATCCGCAAGGATAATGGCAGGATTATAAAAAGTTTGGAACTACGCATAAGCATGTCTTAAGAAATTGGAACCTCGAGCTGGCCAAGTACGCCTAATTAGAACTCCCATTAAATCTGCTTATATAGAAAGGGTGTGGGGTTGCTGCTGATTGCACAGGGAACAAGCAAGAGAAGCAGTGCATTGTCGTCATCTTACCTAGGTTCTTGAAGACAACCGTTTCACCGCTTTGAACAACGCCAGGCTCGCCGGCTGGCGTCGCAAGGACTTCACCGAGTTCGGCACGGATCTCCGCCTGCAAGCAGCGGAGTGGACCATAAAGAGTCATAACGAGTACCGTCAAGACTCAAGATATGTCCAAATGCAGATACCAGCACCACAGCAGACCCGCTATGAGAAACAGGGTTAGCCAAGCGAATAAACTACTTCCAAGTACCAAGTACAATCCAGTTGTCGATGATTACTACTTGTACTTTACTAGGCTAAGTAGGGTGGATATAGCAGGAATGGGGGTGATGATAAGAACAATGTCCAGTGCTAGTCATACAGAGCTGTGTCTTCAGGAGCGTAGTAGCTAGTACGATGGTCAGGTTTTGGCTGGGAAAAAAGCGTTTGAATCGTTTCGGCAGTGAAAGAGGAATAAATGACACCGGCAATAGTAACTGTTGTCAATCGTGTGCCCGTGTACAGTATATTGTGTATTGATAGGAGCATGGCTTTGCTACATGCCTGGGCATAGCCTGTCTTCTATGCAAACCCTTGCAACACAGAGACCAGTACAGTACAGGTACTAGAAGTATCTGCTACAAAAGAACAGCACCTCACAATAAATCATGAAGGAATAACTAATAAGTCACAAGTTAGTTAGTTGTTGGTGAGCTTCACTGTGAGCTTCATGCTGGGTCAGGGTGCGATTACCTTTGACATGCGGACAGCACCGGATTCCTTGAGGGCGCCCGGGCGAGAGTCAACAATCACCGCCGCTGATTCCATCAGAGTCTCGTCCAGCTCGCGGTCTGTGGGCTTGTAAGCGCCGACAGCTGTGCGTCCCGGAAAACACGGCCAATATAGCGTGTGAGTACCGGTATACTATGCGCACAGTATGTTTCAGAATGAGTACTGGCAGTACAGGGACATTTCCAATGTTACTGATGGCAATACTGTACTCTCGAGAACAAGATTTTATTTACGCCCCTCTGGCCACAGTACTGGTCGTGCCAACACAAAGAAGTGCTGTGTGCACCTAAAGGCTTGCGCGGTTTTTGAATCCGGTGATGTCCTCATGTCATAAGGTAGACCAGTGCCTAGATGTCTAGCACTGGATAACGCAGGTCTAGCGAAGTGGAGAAGTGAGCAGCTTTGGGAGAGGCTGAGTACCACTGGTAAAGGGATTTAAAAAGATTCGTCCTTTATTTCAACAAGCCAATAGCTAGATAGCCATCGTAGTCACATGCGGCAGTTGCTGTTGCATCACTGCTCAGCGATTAAACTGGCAAACTGGCTGGTGAATTACCTTCGACTTGAGAATATCACCAGATTCTTTGGCGGCGGCAGCGCGTGAATCCACGATGACCGCGGATGACTCCATTAGTGTGCAGTCTAGCTCGGACAAGTGAGCTTGACACGCGCCGACAGCTGTGTGAAACAGAGACAACTGCCGCTAGTATTACTGAGTCAACTGATGACTGACCAACGAATAGTGAATACTAGTACTGTACACAGTGTACACACAATCCCTGCATCATACCCTTCAATGCTACTGTACACACAATCCCTGCATCATACCCTTCAATGCTACTGTACACACAATCCCTGCATCATACCCTTCAATGCTACTGTACACACAATCCCTGCATCATACCCTTCAATGCTACTCTACACACAATCCCTGCATCATACCCTTCAATGCTACTGTACACACAATCCCTGCATCATACCCTTCAATGCTACTGTACACACAATCCCTGCATCATACCCTTCAATGCTACTGTACACACAATCCCTGCATCATACCCTTCAATGCTACTGTACACACAATCCCTGCATCATACCCTTCAATGCTACTGTACACACAATCCCTGCATCATACCCTTCAATGCTACCAAGAGTACATAAACCAGAGTGTGCAACTCGGGATGGTTCCTGTGGGAGCGTAATTCGTGCACTACGTCATTTCTGACGGCATGGTAAGCCACAGGTACGGTGAAAAGTTGCGTAACCAGTCGCGGTGGTGCAGTTCACTGAGTTTGTCCTGATTTCGGTTTTTTGAGACGGATAGCCTGGTGACTTTACTTGTCGGTGGATGTACGCAGCGAACACAGTCACACAAAACACCGAAATCCTGAAACAGGACGTCTAAAATCAAGCAAACTTGGCTGATTTCCGGGCTATGAAACATGAAAATTTGAGCTCTACGCAAGTCGCGGCTTGGCTGATCTCATCAGGGTGACGTAGTGCACGAACTGCGCTGTTTCAGATCTGATATGCACAGTTGCACACTCTGGTTTATGTACTCTTGATGCTACTGTACACACAATCCCTGCATCATAGGCTGTGTTTACATGAGAAATTTTAACCCGGGTCGAGTTCAGCCCGGGTTGAAAGTCTGTACGATAGACAAAAGAGGTGAGCGTTTACATGAAGACAGTTGACCCGGGTCAAATACTGATATGCCGCCAAAAGTCCACTTCTACAGTCCTGTATGGTCACGTGAATCCGTTCGCGCGAAATTTGCATCTGCAGTGCTGTTCAAACCTGGCGCGAGATACGCACAGAAGTACGTTTGTACGATTTTCTTGACCCGGGTTGATTTCAACCCTCCCCTTGGGGGGAGGGTTGAAATCAACCCGGGGCGAAATTTCAACCCGAGTCAAGCGCAATGCGTCATGTAAACGCGCCATTCACTTTGTGCACATGGCGGGTTGAAATCTGACCCGGGTCGAACTCAACCCGGGTTGAAACGCTTCATGTAAACACAGCCATACCCTTCAATGCTACTGTACACACAATCCCTGCATCATACCCTTCAATGCTACTGTACACACAATCCCTGCATCATACCCTTCAATGCTACTGTACACACAATCCCTGCATCATACCCTTCAATGCTACTGTACACACAATCCCTGCATCATACCCTTCAATGCTACTGTACACACAATCCCTGCATCATACCCTTCAATGCTACTGTACACACAATCCCTGCATCATACCCTTCAATGCTCGCACCTATGTTGCTTTGTGTGTGTTTGGACATGACAGTACCATCTCTTTCGCCTCTCTTCCTTCCTTCCATCTCTCAATTTTCGGATGCCCAGAAGCAAGAGTGCATAAACCAGAGCATGCAGCGCCGCATCTATGCCGCATAAAACCGATACTATGGCGAAGTTTCGTTTCTGGTTAGGTCATCTTGAATCATAGATAGCCCGTTATCCTTTTTTATTTATTTATTTATTTTTTACGACGTAAGGCCAAGCCTCTTGTGCGGGCAAACTAAACACAATTACGAGTGCAACCTCAAGCCCGTTATCCCATAGATGCAGTGCTACACTACCGTATCACTAAGGTGATAATAGGAAATTCGCCTGCGTTTTTCAAATTTTGTACGACAAGCAGCAATGCGCAAAATCATCTTGGTGATACGGAAAATTGAACATGCGAACCGTGTGAGATGCAGCAAAGGTGAGTCACTATGACCTAAACAAAAAACTTCGCCGTGGGACGCACACTCGGGTTTACAAATCGTACCAAATGAAAAAAATTAAAAACTGGTTCAAAATGTGGAGGATATGGGGTTCGAACCCATGGCCTCTCGCATGCAAAGCGAGCGCTCTACCACTGAGCTAAACCCCCTCGGATGAAGCTTGGTTTATATCCTGGCAACATGTCCATTTCGCAGCTAGGGTGAGAAAGAAGGAGAGAGGTGGGGAGAAAGAGAGAGAGAGAGAGAGAGAGAGAGAGAGAGAGAGAGAAGAGAAGAGAGAGAGAGAGAGAGAAGAGAAGAGAGAGAGAGAGAGATGCACGGGGAAGAAGCCGGTACAGTACTGTACAGCCATTGCAGTATAGAACTGTAACTAATACTATCCACAGTGTCCTTACCTGCCACAACAGCACCCTTCTTTACCCAGTCACCAAACACAATGGGTTCCTTTGCCATAGTCGTAGTGACGATCACATCCGCATCTTCTACAGCTTCTTTCACAGTGTCACACACGCTCACCGGCTCTGTGACCTGACTGGCAAATTTCTGTGCATTCTCCTTAGTGCGGCTGTAGATTCTAACCTGAAACAGACAAGGCAACCCCGCATCACAAACGTGGAGACTAGGCACGCATAGACAAGTTGATGCTGGTTGGGAGTCAGTGATTTTGCTAGTTCAGCTACACATCGACTGTTTGTAGGAAAGGCATTGAAAGGACAGGGTGACAGCAGAATTCGGCAGGTCACTACTGTCCGTGCAACCTAACTTACACGTGTTCTCACTCCAACACAATCATGCTTTGCAAACCTGAGCATGAGACACATTCCTGCGTAAATAGTGCACAGGAACCAGCTGCAAAAAGCGCACTCGCGCAACATGCACACACTGAATGTTGTTACTGTACTACGATGGTGGCGGGCATACCTCCTTGACGTCAAAGACGTGACGCAGAACTAGCAGGTGACTGCGTGCCTGCACACCCGAGCCGATTATGGCCACCTTGCCCGACCGCGTGGAAGAAAACCTCTGGAGAGGCAATACCAATAAACAAAACCCCGCAGCTTTAAATACGTACTCCTGAAAGGAAATCAAAGGTCTACAGGATAGAGGAGAAAAAAAAGGGGGGGGGGGGAAGCGGTCATAAGAAATTAGGCCTGAAACGACTCCTAACAAAGGTGAACGAAACATTCTGACGAACTGTACGGTTCGTTTGGCGAACTCACGAACTATTCTCAACGGATATAGTCCCCGCCTGTGGCCACACATGCCCTCCCATCATACAAGTGATCCATGTCAGTCAAATTGCTATGGCCAGCCGCAGTTCATAATACTTGAGTAAATCAACATCTCCAAAATGAAATGAGAGAAGTTCCGACTCAAACCTGAAAGGCAAGTTCAAACAACCCAGAATTAGACGATCTGCAATCACTGTCTTTGTTAGAAAAGCTGTGATAATGGGGGCATGCTTGGGGCTGGGGGTGGCTAACTGGGCTGTGCATTGTTAGTTGCAGTACCAGCAAGGGACTGCATGTACCTACGCATGCATCGACGCACTTTCGACACCCTGATGTAGCGAATCGAATTCTCCTCAACTCCTTTTTGGAGCGAACCTAGTCGAACGTTCTAAAATTCGTTTCACCCCTATTAGAAAGTATGATATAGGCATGGGGGTGGCATCCAAAGGCAAACAAGCAAGGTGAATGAAATCTTATCTATGTGATGCAGATTGTAAACGGACAGCTGATGCAAGTACGTCAAGCCAACATTCCCGACCAAAACTTGGTGCCTTGTATCTACCATCGATCTATATAGGGATTCCATTACCAAGTGGATAGGTGAAGTGTGCTATGTAAAGCCAAGAGTGAATAACCGCCAGAGTGTGCACCTCTGAACCATACCCACTGACCACCAAAATTCCTGATCTATGCCATTGCTTTCCTGTGGGTGCGCACAAAGTAGTCATTGATTGTAAAAGAGTACCTCTCTCTCTCTCTCACCAGCTATCAGTAATTTGTTCATGGTTGAGAATATGCAGAGCTCAGATGGAGCAGCACAGCCCGATGGCGTAGATCAAGACTCATTGACAAGACGTATTGATGGTTCGTTACCCAATGGAGTTGCACACTCTGAAGGGAAGGCACTCATGGTTAAGCATACCAAATCATAATCATTGATTTGTAGCATTCAAACGGTACCCATAGAAGAGTTGGAATACAATTCATGCATTGGATGAGGCCAGCAATCTCCACTTCACCAGCACAGGTGCTGCACAATAGAGATCACTCACCCTGATGGCCAGAGCAGACACGGCTGCGGTTCTCATGGCAGTGATAACGCCACCGTCGATAAGCTGCAAGACAAGGCACAGCAATTACAACACAACCTACTAATGGCAACAAGACACTCTACATAAACTATTTGTGTGAATGAAAAGCGGCGCAGCGTCAACACACACACACATGAACTAAGTTAACCCTTATCCGACCGTCAAAGTGGACAAATTCTCAGTCCAAGCAAGACGCCGCGACTCATTTTGTTGATAACTTTAGTTTCCCTTGGGAGATATTGGCAAACTTGGGCTTTTTGGAAAGCTTGAGCCATGAGGAATTCTCTAGAAGCAGTTTCTAACTTTCATTTGTAAGAGGAACAAAACTCCATCTCCAATTCCATTTTGTGAAGAGAAGTACGGCTCATCGACATGTGGACTATTTGTAGTCTTAATTTTGTACTTTCATGCTAACACATTTTGAATATACCATCAGGGAAGCATCCAGGCAACGTTTTAGGAGGGCAATGTAATCATTGCCAAAGTTACACCATTTGAAAACTTGTTTCGTACGCGGTGCGAAAACACACCTCGCTCAGAGACTTTTAACCTCTCTTTGAAAGATGCTAAGACGCTCCGGTCTTTTGCAAATGAATGGTGGGTCTTTCCAGCATCTTTTGAGACCAAAATGGTGCAGATTCGATCAAAATTAAGTGAGTTACAGCTTGTTAAAGTCATCGACGGATAGTCGTCGATTTTTGACTGGCCGGTCGGAAAAGGGTTAAACATGTACATGCTATGCTAGTCATGGCACCTTGTGCTTGGAGAACCGTATTTTACATGTTTTAAGTCAACCGGATAATCGAACACACATACCTTATGTATGCATGACATAATTATAGTGTAAATCGGTAACCAACGATTTTCTTCCGGATGGCGGGGATCCGGATAAAAGAGGACCGGATAAGCAAGGTCTGACTGTACTAGTAGTCGACCTACAAACAGGATTATTGAACCGGTAAACCGAGACCCTAAGTATGGGGGGGGGGGGGGAGGTCATATCTGGCAACATATGGTACACCATTCAACAGCTTGCAAAGCTGAGGAGTCGACTGCCACATCATATCCTGGCATTGCATCACACATCTTCTTGAAGTGGTACACACACACACACACATACACACACACATACACACACGCACACACACGCACACACACACGCGCACACCATTGTGATATCTAGAACAGTGTACTAACGTACAGACAGCACTTCACCAGTCGCGGCATTGAACAAAACAATCATGGCCGAGTGTGATGGCAGACCTCGCTGTGCATTTCCCGGGAACACCGACACCAGCTTCACAGCAAGCCCACTATCTTGGCAACTGTATGCCGGCATGACGGCCAAAGCACTACAAAGAAAAGGGCAAAACATGACACACTAGTATTCACCAGGATATGCTGCATACTCAGTAGCACTCTACAGAGTATTCACCAGGATATGGTGCATACTCAGTAGCACTCTACAGAATTTAGTTCAGGATCAGGATCCAGAGTACACACAGTGCCTCAACATGAAACATACGGTACCAAATGTACTCACAGGAAGTGTGAGTTACGAAGTCTGAAGAAAATGTTGAACGGCCTCTGCTGGGATGACGACTACACCATAGCTCAGTGGTCAGAGCATCGCTGGCTACAAGCAAAGGTCCCTGGTTCGAGTCCTGGTGGTGACAGTCAATTTTTTCTTCAGACTTTTCCCGTTTGTCTCTTTCCCTCAAACCAGTTCACAAATGTACTTACGGTAACCTTTTTGGCCAAATACTGGATATGGGCATTATAGAGCTTTTTCAAAGACGCCTTTCCCGCCACCGCCCCGGCGATCACCCCGAGATTGTGGTGAACAGGTCGCATGTCAAAATGCATTGAAAAGTATACAAAATGTGACAGGTTCGTCTCCACCAGCGCTTGGAGCGATTCTGAAGCTTGCTCTTTTTCGCGCAAGCCATGGAAGGGCCTGGCAACTGCTCTGACTCAACACAAGTGTCGGATGTCAAGTGGAGCGCCATTCTACTGCTTCTTTCACCTCTATGCATCCATTCCCATACAAAGTGAACGTGAACTGGGCTTCGCCTGTTCACCAGCGATTCAAAAATTTCTCGCACGCGACCCCAAAAAAGTGACCGTTGGTACAACCTTGAACAAGCTCTATACTCCGGCACGTATTTTTTAAACGTATTATTTATCCACAAGTGGCAACAACTTTGCCACACTACACAACAAACATTATTTGAACAATTTTAGGGTAATAATACCGTATTTTACCGGTTGTAAGTCGACCCCGGTTGTAAGTCGACCCCGGTTATAAGTCGACCCCCGTATCTGGAGGTCTCAATTCTGCGTTTGAAAGTGTTCACCCAACGAAGCATTACTAACCACTCCCTGCTACTAACACATCAACAAATCATGTAAACATTCCTTAATGGAGGTTATAACGTCCCAATCCTTGAAAAAGGCCAATAAATTGGAAAAAATGTGTACACATAGTGCACTTGTGCATGCATGCAGTGCATGCAGGTTATTTTTTGTAAGTTACTGATAGTTCCCGGTTATAAGTCGAATCCCGGTTGTAAGTCGACCCCCACCTTTTTTCCTTCTATTTTTAGTCGTACAAGGTCGACTTACAACCGGAAAAATACGGTACTATCTTTCTGGACACACAAATTCGGCTTATGAATAGGCTGACAAATAGCTTCCAAAACGTTTAACTGCAACAGATAACCATGACGAGCACGGCACAAAACAGAAAAACATGAATCAGACTAAGTACGACAACAGTCAGTACTAGAGACCAAATGATTGTATACTGGAACAAGTTTTCGCACAATGCTCTTCAGGAATCACCGTTCTACTAAAGAACAAATAAGAACAAAGTAGATAATATAGCAATCAAGGTAGGGTAGCAGGATACAATGACAGCACTAAAATATCAAGGTGTGATATTTCTCACAAAAGTGTGCACAAAACAAAGGTATGAGAACTATTTTTTGTTGCTGATCCACACATGCCACACTGAGTTCTTATACCCTTGTTTTGTACACACTTTTGTGAGAAATATCACACCTTGATATTTTAGTGCTACCCTACCTTGATTGCTATATTATTAATTTTACTTTGTTCTTTAGTACAACGGTGATTCCTGAAGGGTGTTGTGCGAAAACTTGTTCCAGTGTACAATCATTTCGTCTCTAGTACTGACTGTTGCCATACTTAGTCTGATTCATGTTTTTCTGTTTTGTGCCGCGCTCGTCATGGTTATCTGTTGCAGTTAAACGTTAAAAGTTTTGGAAGCTATTAATTTTTCAGCGTATTCATAAGCCAAATTTGTGTGTCCAGAAAGATAGTATTATTATTTATTACCCTAAGTGTTCAAATAGTGTTTGTTGTGTAGTGTGGCAAAGTTGTTGCCACTTGTGCCTAAATCATCAGTAAATGTGTTTTGTCACCTTTTTATTTGTTAGTATTATCAAGAGTCCACAAACAAGAGTATGCAACTGTGATCTCTTTTCTATGGGCCAGATGCGCGGCGCACTGCCTTCATTACATCATTCAGCTGCAGCCCGCGCACTGCGGAAAATCAAACACCGCACTTTTCCTCTGGTTTGAAATGAACTTTTGTACGGAACTGGAGTTCACGCACCAAAATTTAGAGATCGCGTAGGTACTGGAAAGAATCGAGCAAAAACAGATGTGCTTGTACAAGAAATTGTGGGTTTGAGTGAATGCTTCCCGAACGTCATAAAGGCAAGTTACGTAATGAAGGCAGCACGCCGCACACTGACCCATAACCACAGTTGCATACTCCTGTTTATGCACTCTTGGTATTATTTATCAGCGTTTGTACAAGCCTAATTTGTGTGCACAGAAAGATAGTATAATAAGGTTGAAATTGTTCAAGTAACGTGCTGTGTTTGGTGTGACCAAGCTTGGCCGTTAGTGTTCTAGGTGAAATGTACTGCTGTTATGTGTTTTCACTTTGTCCTTCTTTCTTTCTCTTGTTTTTTTCATTTTTCATTTGCAGGTTAATTATTCACTGGTTTGAGGGAAAGACATAAACGGGAAAAGTCTGAAGAAAAAACTGACTGTCACCACTCTCTTTTCAATCAATCTTTTTCAATCCCTCAAACTTATGAAAATTTAAAAATACACGCCTTGATGTATTCTTCATACCCAGATTCATCTCCAACTGGTATGACTGTCCTCACGGGCATCACCACGCCACCAGCTTCACCAGCGGAGAAGTTCCGCAGGCCCGTCTCCAGTTCACTCATCAGCGTAGGCACGTTCAGCAATTTGTAGGCGGTGGCAGCATTGATGAAGGGCGGCGACACACTACTGCCATGGCTGATTATATAATCCTCCATTGCGAAAATATTTCGACTCGGTGACAAGAGCAGGTACTGCGGGTGGCCCAGTTGCAAAAAGACGTCGATTTTATCAAGTCGAGCTCTCTTTCATCACTGGGTCACTGCTGGAAGACACGGTATAACTATTGTTAGTGTGGAGATAACTCTTCCAAAAGAAAAGGACTGACCATTCTCACTAGAAATATTCTGTAAAGTTTGCCCACATTTTCGTGGCATATCATTTCGAAATCTACGAGTCATGTACCACAATCGTCACTTATGAAGTTATGTACAGTGCAGTACAGACAGTCACCATGGTCACGTCAGTGCAGGTAACCCTGGTTTGACTCAGTAGGCAACAAGACGTCGACAGACTGTCTCAGTAAAACCGCGCATCGCAGCCACAACTACTCTTCTTCAACAAAAATTAATAATACTTCATGTCTTGTTGGGGCGCTACTGCCTTCATGCTACTTGCCAGCAAGAGTCCGAGTACGAGTCGTAGTGTACATAAACGTTGTGTACTCTTGATGTGACCCACTTCAAAATAATTGTCTTTTTTACTTAAAAATTTTCATCCAAATGAGTATCATGAATAATTGTTTTGCTTGACCAGGAAGTACTCGAGTCGTCAACGAATCCCTGGCTTGACAAAACTCAAAAGCGGAAAACTGGACACCCACTTCACAGTATCCTGACTGCCACGGAACCGGGACTCCTGACTGAGAACGGAGGGTCACAAGTTCAGCGGCAACGCACACGAATCCGTAGTGCCGCCGTGAGCTACCGTGGCTCAGCAGCTGTATGTTTACTTTCGGAGCTTCTTCTCGTTGAATGCTGTTACAAGCTTCATGCAGCAGGATCGAACTGCACTTTGCGTTCCGAGGGTTTTGTTCAATGATTATGTTGTCAGGGAGGCGCAGCAGGCCTGCCCGACTGCTTACTTACGTAACGTCGCTTCACGGTGAGCACGGCAGTAGCAGTACGTACAGTGCAAGTGCACTAGCGCCGAGTACTCATGCATACTAGTACTAGTACATGTAGTTAATTTTTGGCTCTGGCACTCAGTGCAGTGGCAGTCTGGGAGAAAAGACATGACACAGTCACCACGCGGGCGTGCCCGTTTTGGCATACTGGTGCCCTTTACCATGTTTGCCATGTACCAACACAAACCTTGAACCTGACATGGTGCTGTTGCGTCCTGAAGGCGTGTCGCTGTATTTCGCCCGTACATGGGCGGGTATGATTGATCAGGATACATTTCCAGATGCTGAACAGATGCACGGGTTAGGCGCGGCTGACCTACAGGAGCCTTTGCACCTGCTACAGGGCGTGCGGCCTGATGTGATCCTTTATGGGTGTATGTACTTCGGCTGCCCTAACCCATGGTGTTGCTTTTGATGGAGCACTTGCTGCGCAGATCAAAAATGGCAGTGGCGCGGAGATCGTCACAGCGGCAGGCACCGTGATGCATTCACTGCAATTCCTTGGGCTGAAACGTATCGGGTTTGCGTCCCCTTATGTTCAGTCCGTCAATGATTTGGCCGTGCGATTCTTGTCTAATGCAGGTATCACTGTCTTGGCCCGCTCCGATGACCAGACACTGGTAGCGACGGACAAGGGGAATTAGAGCCTCGCGCTGTCCACGATCTTGGTCACGGTTGCTGCCGATCATCCAGAGGCCGAAGCAATTGTGCTATCTTGCACCAATATGCGCTCTGTTGAAGCCATCGCCAAGTTAGAACAAACCGTTAGCAAACCTGTGGTCAGCTCCAACCAAGCAATGATGTTTCAGGCCATGCAGCTCGCAGGTTTCGGAGACTCTTTGCAGGGATATGGTCAATTACTGGAAAGAAGCCGCTTATGAGGTTCGAAGATATTGCTGAATTTGTACGTTCTGACCAGATCACATTTCCCGGAAAGTGCATTTGATTTGGCTCCAACGCTGCTGATTGACACTGTTGGTGTAGCCGCTGGGGCGGCAGATCTAGAGGACCGTTTGTCAGGTTATTTGGTTTGGTCTGCACTCCTCAGACAGCACTGTGCACAATTGTATACAATGAGACTTGCAGGCTGTATTGAAATGGTGCATTAGACCACCTGCAAACACACAATATTGGAGGCCAGCATGACCGTACAAGTCGGCACAGACACCAACGAAACCTGTAAGACAAGCAACGCAGGCGGCGCGTCGATCGATTGCTATTCGATTTCAGCGGCTACGGAGGCTGGTTTGGGTGATTTTTCCAAATTGCCAGCATCATTGAACTGAGGTGGTTCTTGGGAAATATGCTGTGGTTTGAAGATGGCGGTCGGACGGTTTCCGTGGATGACATTGAGGCATTTGCGGAGTGGGGCGCTAATCCGGGCCGATGGTAACAACCCATGCGAGATCTCTTATCGTCCAGCACGGGTTCTGTTGGGAAGTGCTTACGACACACATGACTGGTAAAAGGGTTAACCAGGTCAACAATGCCAAGGAGAAGATGGTGTTGCCCGACGGCCGGTATGGTCACTGGTCTAGGCTTCCAGGTCATCATGTTGATCTAATGTGTCCAAACTCATAGCTGCAGCCATGGCACCTGACCAGTGGAGTCGCTGCCAAGCTCGAACTAACTGCTTCAGTCAAAGGTGAGAGGATCGTGTCAGGAAAGAAAGCCATTGAACTTTGATGGCTGCAAAGTGACTACCTTTCTCCCCCTACACCGTACCACCACAACCCCGACCTGGGTTACACAACCCCGACCTGGGTTAGGATATAGGTGCAGTTGCACACGTCATGTAACAACTGAGTGCTCACAGTTCGAATTCTGCACCTGGCTAAAAAAAGTGGATCTAACAAAGAACAGACCACATGTCCTACCAAGAGTAAAATAAGCCCACAAGAATGTGCGACTCTGCATGGGTTTACACCGCTACTGTAGGACATGTGAATAATTATAACGAGTCGCAGGTTCAACAATCGTCCGAAATCCATAGGTCAACAAGAAGATCCGTTAACGATTTTGCAGTTTTCAGGTATATCCGCACATACTACTGACACATACATGTATGAGGCCTTATAGCCTCAACAGAACTTACAGGGTTCTAGCCAGGTGAAAATAATTAATGGGGGCCCCAGCACTCTTGGGGTTACTGTATAGTAGGGACCTTTCGCACCTCAGTGCTGCGAATCGAATGCGAAACGAAAGTTTGATTCGGCTCGTCCTCATTTTGTTGAAAACAGATTCAGGTTTCGCAAGTCGTCATGCTATTTTCCATGACAACTACGAATACGGCCGGCAGCTTGGCGTACATGTGCATGGATCATATAATCAGGAAAATGTGTACCTGGCAAAAAAATCTGTACCTGACGGATTCGGAGCGATCCATGAATAAAGAGACTTCCATTCGTGAAAATCAGCCCTCATAAGGGACTCTGACGAATCCACGAACCCAGGCGACGAATCAGCATTCGTTTCATATCCGTAAGCGTGGTGCGAAAGGTCCCTCCCTACTCTTGCCATTATTCAGCTACATGCACTTCGAAGTACTCCGCACTTTAGGGGCCGTCCGTAAATATCGAACTTTTTTCACCAAACAAATTATTTTAGTTTAGACCCAACCCCTCCCTCCCTCCCCCTCAAAACATAAAAAATGTTGACATACGTGCATATACAACGGCCATGAAACGAAATTGGTCAATCCCCTCCCACCCCATAACGAAATTATTTCGTTTTGTGAAGTTCGATATTTATGGACGACCCCTCTGAATAGTGACTGTAAAACCTTCCTAATCCTAGCACCGTATTTTCCCCATTAAACGTACACATCTCCAATACTAGTACGTCTCCAATTGTAGTACATGTTGAGTGTGGATCAAAAATATAAAAGTACACGTCTCTACGACTCTCTAATAATAGTACAAGCCGGAATGATGTGATGGGCATTACCGGGGTACAGGTACCAAGGTCCACCATACCTCGTTTTTCTTACCCGTTACTTTGTACACTGTTTCTTTCCGCCATGGTTGGATGTATTTACAGCCATACAGTATCATAATCACGAGTTGTTTGTCACCCAACCCAGGCACTCAATCTTTTCATAAACAATAAAAGTTCACATCTCCAATACTAGTACGAGTACAGTCTCCTCGTACAGGTCTGACCACATTTGAAAAAATAAAAGTACTGTACATTTATTGGGGAAAATATGGTATTATTTGTGTGGAGCTGTGGATGTAAAAGATTTCATCAGAGGGGGTTTAGCTCAGTGGTAGAGCGCTCGCTTTGCATGCGAGAGGCCATGGGTTCGAACCCCATATCCTCCACTTTTTTCTCTTTTGCATAATTATATGAAACAAGAGTACATAACCCCCATGTACCCTTGATGAAACCAAGAGTGTGCAACTCCCGCATACTAGTACTGCCCTGTTGTCCCGACAGAATTTCAAGTTGACGTCATTTTTATGATGCAATGCTCCTTGCACCAGTGAGTTACGATATTTGTACACGTACGGGGTGTCAACACATCACACGTTTTCTTTGAACTTGTTTGTACAGGATCAATATTGATTGTCAACAACAGGTTCACCACAGGTTCAGGATACCTCGGATTATTATGTGTACAATGCATCTTAACAAAGATGTCAACTTGAAATTCTGTCGGGACAGCACTCATAGTGGAGTTGCACACTCTTGGTGGGTTATATACTCTTGATGAAACTCAGACACGGTGTGTAGCTTGGGCTTTTTCTACTATGGGCGTCTCAGTGTCACGGCGGAATTCCGTCATTTAATACATCATATTTGGCGCAGATCTGAGACGGGAAATGGCGTAGTGCGTACAACTGAGCTGAAGTTGTGCAGAAAGAGACTTGCTTGAATCCTGCTTGTATGCACTAAAATGATGTTATCACGGAATTCCACCGTGACAGCAACCCATCCGAGCTGCACGCTCTGGGTTTCATGTACGCTTGCTGGAAGTGATACTTGAAATCGAAAAAAATTGGCCCGAAATTTTCTTCATCCAAAGACGTCAATGTTTTCAAAAAAATATTGGCCACCTACATTGTAGGGGTCGGTAGTTTGGAGGCGGTGAACATAGTTTCGCATTCTATACCTTCGCATGCAAAGACGCAAATCCACACAATCAAGTAAACAATTCCTTTTCATCTATCAAAAAAAAAAACGTTTTCTTTCCCTTCTCCTCAGGATAGTACAGGGAATGTTCATGCATTTTCCTTGTGCTTCCCCTTACAGCAGCTTTGCTTGCACTGTTCTTGTTGTTTTTCACAGACCAATTCAGATATTGGCATGTGCCGCGCTGCACGTCCATCTATTGGCATGTGCAAATGATCTGGAACCACTGTGGAATATTCCACACCGACACCCGGCCGGAACTAGCACTGTGGACTCACAACTTCATGTGTGCTGCCTTCATGAGTGCGTCCAGGAATACTCGTAGGAGGAGCCATACCCCAAGGTAACTCACACCCAGAAGAACTGGCTGTCCTGCCTCTGCTGGTCACAGTTATTTGCTGTGTGCAAGACTGCCAACAGTTACAGTGCATCCTCTTGTCTGTGTGTCCGAACAGCGATGACCGAAGCCACGTGTTTTTATTTATCTGATATTAAACACCCAAGATAAAGTTTGGACGCAGTTCCGGATGGTGGTCTAAAAGGCCAAAACGTTGAATAAACAAATTAAAAAATTGTGTACAGTGAATGGTGGCACAATCTGCGTTAGCGGTATGTCCATTAGCCCAAGATCTATCTTCTCATATCACCCATTCAGGTATATTACTTCGAAGTACATTCGAATGTACGTTGGATCTATCTAACAACTTGGAACAACTGGTACGAAGAGAGGTTTAAAACTATTTTGATGTTACATGCCTCGTTAGCTAATTAGGGAGGTTTCGCTCTACGGAATTACGAAAATAACGTAGGAACTGCATGTAATTTTCATACGTAAAATTGGGTAAAAATCAGAGCTGTTGGGTTTCGCTCTATGTTATTTCTCCACGACTGCTAGACATGCTTTGTTGCTTTGGAGACGCGTTGGCTGCATGCGCCCACTGCATGTACCACGAACCGAAACCGCGTTTTCCATTTAATTTTGCACGTGGTGTACGGTGTGTGTACCTTGTGTTTCGCGCGGCTTGAACATTGCCATGGATAAATCCGGAGAATGCAATAATATTTCAAAAAGTCCTACGGAGGACCCAACGTAGGAAGGAGCTTTCCTACGGAAATCTGCAGAGAGATTTACGTGTGAAAGTTGCCCTCGCTCCCCGGCGCGTACGACATACGGATTTTCCTACGTAATTACGTAGAGCGAAACCTCCCTATTGTCCGTGAACATAATACGGATTATTGTCATCACTGCTTTTTTTCTTCATTTCCGTGAGGCTGCATACTTCTATGTACATGTAATGTGATTATGTCAAAAGTATGAGGCACGGCGGGTTTTGTCTACGGTTTCTTGCGTTTATTCAGGCTATCAGTCCTCAGAGTCACTCCTGCTCCTCTGCTGTTGATTGGTAACGGCTGGTATGACTTCTCTTGCTCCACTTTACCTCATTGGCTCCTGTCACTTTCTAGTCGATGAGTTAAAAGAAATTTGAAGTACAGTACATGTATAATTATAATGATGTGTGTCAGTTTTGCTTATCAGACTGCTGTGTCGGACTGGGGTCCCTACTGGCACTGCAAACTGCTAGCAGGTGGCTATGATCTGCAGTCCAATGACATAACATTCTTGAGCGTGGCTGTGCAATGAGCGTAGATCTATTGCCCCGCTTTTGTACTGGCACCAGTGGCACTGATGTCACGTGGTTGATGTGGATGGTGGTGGCCAGGCGAGAATGTGGACATCTGTCACTTATTGCATTTACTCGCATGTCGACAAGGACCACAACTGTTATTGGTTATGACCGATGTATGATGTTACTTACGTCAGTAGTGACGTCATGCACTGGCCACACAGTCCTATTGCACATCCCCTGCTCCGCTGTAGTGAATCATTTAGCCCGGCATCAGATCTAGCTCTCAGTGTACTGCCAACATGATTGTGTCGTGGCACGTATCGATGACTATGCAATAGCATCGGTTGTATAGTCATTGATATGCTACTCAAAAGTAAAAAATTATATTTTGAGTAGCAATACATGGTGTGTCAACGGCAGTGGCCAATGAATGAATCCATCATGCCTGGAATGTTTGCATGACTGTGCCAGTGGGTAGTGTATGTGAATGACTTGGCCATTGCTAAGCTGCGTGCCTGCAGTACACTCGCGTACTGTACGTATTCATATTAATTGTGATTTTGTTCCGATGATTTCCGCGGTTTTGTAATGCATGTCGTACTAACAGTCAGTCTGTGGTAAAAATAAAAATACCCAATAAAAAATGTAAGGCCCGGCAGTAGGCGACAAGCCATGCATGCATGGTTCACCACTATGGATAGTATGGTCCACAATTCCACATGATGTAGCACAATGATTATGTCATTGACATTCAGATCAGACTGGATTCTATCTGCTATCACTAGTATCAAGAGTACATAACCCAGGTGGGATTATGTACTCTTGCTAGTATCAAGACTGTACATAACCCCCCAGAGTGTGCAACTCCCACATACCCTGCTGATGTGACCCTGGTGACATCACTGTCGTTCTCCAAAAACGGCCAAAATTCAATCCTGATGGGGCCAAAATTCCAAAAAAGTTCCAAGTGCAAAAATCCAACCAAAATTCAAAAATAATTGAAAACATTTTGTAATGTAGATCTGCGTATGGCTTCCTTGAGCTGCGTCGTCATCCTCCTTTTTTGACTTCCCGAAATGCGCCAAGCCCGTGATGTACGTGTGTGCTCTTTCGACGAAGCTCCCGACGATGCGAGAGTGACAAGACTGGAGTCTAGTGGAGAGATCGACTGCTGGCCTGTCATTCTGAAACGGTCAAGCGGAGGGACCTTCTGTCGTGTCAGATATCCCAAAGAGTGTTTGATGACAGGTTTTCTTTGATCGTGCACACAAAGAAGAGGGCAGCATAGTACTGAGTTCTCATTCATTGTCGCTGGAGAGATTTTCCTTTTCTTCTCAATTATTTCAGCTGAGTGTGAGATTTCCTAGGACTGTAGGTCGGGAGTTGGAAAAGCTCTGGCTCAACCAGTGCAGTCATTCTAAGCCCATGCAATGTCTAAATTTCCCCCCGACACCGTTCCCTGCCTCCCCCACTTGAGCCATGAAGACACCACCATTGGGTTCTTCTTCGGCCTTCGCACCGACTCAAAACACGATCGAAAGCTGTTTATTCAGCACGTCCTCAAAGAGGTTAGATTGTGGATGGATGTCAGAGATGAAGAGGAGCAGGCTGAGAAGCTACTTCAGGCCCATTTGCCGACAATCCTGCGTCTCAGTCATGAGTGTCCGTTTGAAGACGTGCAGGACCAATTCTCGATGTTCCTTCACGATATTCAGGTGAGAGAATAAAATAATTGTGTGAATTTTGCTCAGAAAGACTGTTGGTCTCTACTTCATAATTTTTTATAGTTAGTAGGAGACTTCCAATCATTCATCATACAGTTACTAGTACTTCGAGACTATATTCTATATTAAACTATTATAATTATAATGAAAGTCCATGGAGAGATCGTGTACTCTGCCTAATTTGGTGCCCTGGGAATATTATAAATGGACACCATGAAATGGATTAATCCCCCCCCATGCACAGGCTCTTTACCTGTTACATGATGCATGCACTGAACGTAATTGACTTGCGAAACATAAGGCCAAGTAAGATATTGTTCATCGTCACACCCGCCCCATGGCCCAGATTTTTGCCCATTCGACCAGTTTATTTATTTTTTATTTTTTAATAGTATTGTGTGTGTACGTACAACATCGTGCTAACAGTGTTATTGTCCTTTTAGACAGTGGGCCGATAGGCGGTCAGCCTTTGGGTCATCCTAATAAAGTTATTATTATTATTATTATTATTATGGAGCATGGCATGGGTATGGTGTGCTTTCGGTTGATCAAAGCATGTGCTGCATACAAACTAGATGTACATCACATACGGTATGTAGGTGGAATCCTGATGATTTGGATATGGCTTAATTCGAACATACCGCTTATTTAGAAGTTTTTCCAGGACAGATTTCTATCAGTACGATTCCCACATAACAATTTCTGATAATCCGAACCTTGAACTGGACATGTTCGGTTAATTAGAAGTCCCACGGATTCCACTTTAATACATAGAAAATGTGTGGGATTTGTGCTGATAATTCGAAGTTAGCAAAGTGTAATTCGAAGTTCACTGTACACTGTACTGGTCAGTTCAGTTTGCATGAGCAGGCCGTGCCGGTCAGTTCAGTATCCGTGAAATCTGTGTCTACAGTGCGTTTCAAAAATATAGACGCATGATTTCAAAAAACCATTAGGCCAGCATCTATACCACATAAAATCTGTGATCACTTTGTGCATAACAATTTCGAAATTGGGCGTTTGCTATCCGATCGCTTAGAAATCTATATGACAGTAATGGCGTGAAGGACCTGAGCAATATCCCGGGAAAAATTCTCAAAAAGCTCCAGCCAAATTTGAAATATTTCGAAAATACCATGCGTCTATATTTTGACATACATACTGTGTTGTGGTTTCATGTTTGGATAATCAGAATGTCCGGATAATTAGAAGTTTTTTTCCTGGCATTTTGAGGTTCGAATTATCAGGATTCCACCTATACTACGATGTATGCGGTGTGCTTGCACTAGCACTGTACAGTAGTAAGTTCTACGATGACTTCAACCTTAACCTTGTATTCACACCTCTCTCCTTTCTCTTTCTTTCTATCTCTCTATCTATCTATCTGATTCTATCTCCTGGCATTTGTTACATATGCTATTGCTGTTTCAGAAAGAAAGAGTGGCGAAGCTGCCGCGTCTCGTCCGCCTCGGCCCCAGCGCATTTATTCAACCAGCAGAGGTCAGTGTTGAGCCACCTGTGTGGGGAAATAAAAACATTCTTTCTGTTGTGATACGGTCATGTATTTATCATAATGTAAAGCCAGGGACCACATGCACCCTCCCCTATATTTTTTGGCCGACTTTTCCCTCATTGTAATCCAGCCAGTAGTTGCTGTCTGGATGTTCAAGATATGTGCAAGCTGTTCCTCCGTCTTTTCACTCAAGTCCAAAGAGCAAAATACAAGTGCAGCGAAAGTGAAAACCGCTAACAGAAAGTCATTCATTCTTTTTCTCTCTCGAAAAATATTCTCAAGTATAAAAGTGCATAGTCATCGAGACCCGCACCTCACCCTACATCATTTGTGACCGCAGAGGAGCCTCCACGGCAGATATCCACAAGGATAATTATTGCACGATGCACCTTGGTGCACACCGTCTTTCAGGTTCCTAAGGACCTATTTTGGGGGGGGGGGGGGGGGGGGGGGCTATCGTGTTTTGCCGAACGGCTGTAAAAAAGTCTTTTAAGTTGGTATCCCATTAGTTATTTGTGAATATAACTTATAAGTACGTAGGTTGACATAAATCAGGTGCTGGGTGCCT